AATTAACTCTCCTCCCAAAAATGCTGACTTCTGGAGGAAAGGATTAGCTTTGCATGGCAATGAAACAAAAGTTCTGCGCATCACTGACTGCCAGCACTGGAAAACATTATTTTTATTTTCTTTTAGGGCCACAAATTTGTGATAAATTTCTTTCTATGAAAAAAAAAGTTATTTCTGTACAACGCTTTGGTAAAACATGGGCTGCTTAGTAAAGGTGACACCATGCACCCAAGTTCATCTCGTAAAGTTTAATCTGCTTAAATTTTGTCCAGTTTTAATGACTTTTGAGATTTTCCCCCACTTACTCCTGGTTCACAGCAGGGTGGCTTTGAAATCGTGCTACTTCGTGCAACTTCAAAGCTGACGATTCAGTGCAACTTCATTGTGGCTTGCTGACACTCTGTGTAACTTCATTTAACACATGTCAATGCAAGTTACAATGAAGTCGCACAAAAAATAATGTAGTAACCTTTTTCAAAGTTGCTGTGATCTGAGTCGCACCAATTTGAACGGTTCCATTGCTGGTAATAAGGTGCAACTTGTCATGCAACTTTGAACTCTCAAGTCGCATGACAAGTTGCACTGGTGTGAACCAGTGCTTACTGTCTGCTAAAAGGTTGTCCCCAGAATAGGAGGTAAGGAGAAGTCTCTCTCTAACGGAGCCCTGAATAACAGTAAAACCTGACAGGGGTTCTAATCATTACCCATTCTATCCAAAACGAAAAAAAAAGTCTCAGCTATAGATACACTTCAATCACATTTTCCATTTACTCAATTCATTATTAGAGGTTAAATGTTAGATTGGTAATAAGTGCTCTGTACATGTTCACACTATTAGAATACTGGGCCTCATATGGTATAGCAGGACATTGCAGTGTGTGTATATCCAATATTCACCAAGAACAATTCAGGATAGATAGATAGATAGATAGATAGATAGATAGATAGATAGATAGATGATTCATAGATAGATACATAGACACATAGATAGATACGTATATAACAGATAGATAGATAGATAGATAGATAGATAGATAGATAGATAGAGAGATAGATAACAGATAGATAGATAGATAGATAGATAGATAGATAGATAGATAGATACATACATACATACATACATACATACATACATAGATCAATGATAGATCAAAAAGATAGATAGATAGATAGATAGATAGATAGATAGATAGATAGATAGATAGATAATGGATAGATAGATAATGGATAGATAGATAACGGATAGATAGATAGATAGATAGATAGATAGATAGATAGATAGATAGATAGATAGATAAATGATTCATAGATAGATACATAGACACATAGATAGATACATATATAACAGATAGATAGATAGATAGATAGATAGATAGATAGATAGATAACAGATAGATAGATAGATAGATAGATAGATAGATAGATAGATAGATAGATAATAGATAGATAGATAACGGATAGATAGATAGATAGATAGATAGATAGATAGATAGATAGATAATGGATAGATAGATAGATAACAGATAGATAGATAGATAGATAGATAGATAATGGATAGATAGATACATACATACATAGATCAATGATGGATCAAAGATAGATAGATAGATAGATAGATAGATACATACATACATACATACATACATACATAGACCAATGATAGATCAAAGATAAATAGATAGATAGATAGATAACGGATAGATAGATAGATAGATAGATAGATACATACATACATACATACAGAGATCAATGATAGATCAAAGATAGATAGATAGATAGATAGATAGATAGATAGATAGATAGATAGATAGACAGACAGATAGATAGATAGATAGATAGATAGATAGATAGATAGATAGATAGATAGATAGATAGATACATACATACATACATACATACATACATACATACATACATACATAGACCAATGATAGATCAAAGATAAATAGATAGATAGATAGATAGATAACGGATAGATAGATAGATAGATAGATAGATAGATAGATAGATAGATAGATACATACATACATACAGAGATCAATGATAGATCAAAGATAGATAGATAGATAGATAGATAGATAGATAGATAGATAGATAGACAGACAGATAGATAGATAGATAGATAGATAGATAGATAGATAGATAGCAGCGGTGTCTGTAGGAAAGAGTTAAGGTGGAGTGCAGCCGTGCTCTCATTAATGACACAGACGCTCGCCCCTCTCCTGCACTGCGCGGCCCCGGTGAATCACCGCCTTTTGTTACTGTCGCAGTCATTTCACTCGTAGCAGAAAATCTTACAATACTTGCAAAAACAAGTCATCCTGTTTCCACAGAAACCGTTAAATGTGATTTCCTCCGCTAAACTGGATTTTCATTTCCATCATGAAAAGCGATTTACAAAATTAATTTGTTTCACATGATAATCAGAAATGTATTTTTACACCAATAACAATAGAGAAGATTTGAAACCAGTCACTTATAAAAGTGTGCAGAGGATGTCACATGCAGCACACACCAGAACCGCTTCACTGTCCTCCACCCACAATGGATTTTTTCACTGTTGGGTGGATACAGATGGAACAGTCATACATAGAATAGACAGAAACTATGTAATGTGTATGGAAGTGTTGTGATAACACTGCCGCCCACTGTCACGGGGAAGCAGTGATCTGACAAGCAGCACATGGATGAGCTCATCTCTCTGTCACTCTGCTCTCACCTCCTATCAGCGTGATTCTTGTAATCACATGAACTGATTGGCTCCTTGTGCTGCTTCTACCTCTCACACTCCAGCCCTGTTGCACTGGGATTGCAAAAGGCTGATACCAGGTCAAATTCAGGTACTTACACTGCTTGTATTCATAAAAAAAAACAGTGTCTTTTATATCTGTTTGGAGTCCAGCTTTAACTCTCCAGCATCTTCTAAACATGGACATTTTGTTTTCAGTATTTGGTGGACTGACCCTTTGGTTACACTAAACTCTGTTTTATTAAAAACATTTAAGGTATGTGTCCTTAACCAGGCACTTTCACCCCGTTCATGTCGAGGCCTATTTTCAGATTTGTCTGCTGTCGCACTTTGAGTTTGAATTGTTATCATTTTTTTTTTATCAGATAGTGATTTCTTTTGGTGGTATTTAATCACCTCTGGGTTTTTATTTTCTACTAAAGAAACTAAAAAAGCCTGAAAACTTTGAAAAAAAAAATTATTTTCTTAGTTTCTGTTATAAAATTTTGCAAAGGTAATTTTTCTTCTTCACTGATATACTCTGATGAGGCTGCACTGAAGGGCACTGAAGAGGCTGCACCGATGAGGTGGCACTGATAAGCTGCAGTGATGGGTACTGATGAGGTGGCACTGATGGGCACTGATAAGCTGCAGTGATGGGTACTGATGAGGTGGCACTGATGGGCACTGATAAGCTGCAGTGATGGGTACTGAAGAGGCTGCACTGACGAGGCAGTACTGATGAGCACTGATATGCTGCACTGATGAGGAGGCACTGATGAGGTTGCACTGATGGGCATTGATATGCTGCCCTGATTGGAACAGATGGGGCTGGACTGATAATCAGGGCACTCATGAACTGTGCACTGATTATCAGTTTTAAACCATGTACTAACAGTCTTGCCTGTTTACATGCGATCAGCTGTGATTCAACACAGCTGATCACATAGTAAAGGGCAGCTGTGATTGGCCCTTTACCGCGGTCTGTGATCAGCTGTGTCCAAAGAACACAGAGATCACAGAGTGCGCCCGATACGCTCCCCACGGATATACACGGAGCGGGGCTCTGGAAATTTGTCCATGGACGCCCTCCCAGAACTAGACGACTGCAGTTTAGCCATAACTTGTAAAGCCCTTTAAAACATCCAACATATTTCGGGTGCTCAGCACTCCCTCTTCATTGGGGCTAAAATCTAGACAATAGAGAAAATACAGAAATTCCTTAAAACATGTTATATGTATGAACAGTTTTATAAAAGAGCAAATATCTTGATACATTCTTACTGGAGCCAAAAAAACACACACCAGTGCTCAATTGAGTAGCATAAAAATAGAAATTAAAAAAATAATTGTGTTCTTATTAAGGCAACAAAACATTACAAAAACAAGAAAAAATAAAAAAAATAGCTAAATGTGTTCTTATTAAGGCAACAAACCAATGCAAAAAAAAAAAAAAAATAAAATAAACCTCCAAATGTGTTCTTATTATGGCAGCAAAATAACACAAATAAATAAATAAAAATAAAAAACTAAATGTATTCTTATTAAGGCAACAAAACAATGCAAAAACAAGAAACAATTTTAAAAATTAAAAAAAAAGTGTTCTTATTAATGCAACAAAACAATGCAATAACAAGAAAAAATAAATAAAAAAAAAAAAAAAAACGAAATGTGTTCTTATTAAAGCAACACAACGCAAAAAAAAAAAGAAAAGAAAGAGAAATGAATGAAATCTGGATAAGTTCATAATAAAGTATAAGTTCACCTTTTGTAACATGTTACTCCCATATTCGGGGTGTAAGATGTAATATGTTATGAACAGACCGGCCCCCTCTCCTCCCCGCTCCCCATTATGACAGCTAATGGGGGATCTTCTCCTCCCCTCTGTCAAAATTTAAAAAAAAACATGGCCGAGTGGGGCTCCGAGAGCCTGGCCGCGTCACTCATTCACTGTGTTCTATAAAAAGGTGAACTTATCCTTTAATAAGAACACATTTTTTTTTTATTTTTACTTTTATATTTTTTTGAACAATGGTGTGTGTCTTTTTTGGCTCCAATAAAGTTTTTTTTACATATATATATATATATATATATATATATCTTGTAACATGTTTTAAGGATTTTTTCAAATTCTCTTCTTTTTAGCCCTGATGGAGGGGAAGTGCTGGGCGCCTGAAATGCATTGCCTGTAGCAAAATAAAATCTTTGCATGGACTACACAAGTTGGTGTAGGGCTCCCATCCTCTTTGGTAAACTTCTCTAGGTGTCCAACAAGACCCCACAGTTGCTGGCAGGGGAGGACTGACAACTCATGGGGCCTCCGGGCAATAGGGAATCATGGGGCCCCTGTGTCCTTGCCCAAACTCACAAAAGGCTATGAAAAAGGTACCAGGGGCATCTCATGGGGCCCCCTACTAACCCTGGGCCCTCGGGCAGTGCCCGAGTTTCCAAATGGTCAGTCCGCCCCTGGTTGCCGGTGAACAGCTGCTAGGACCTCCAATCACCCAATGCATTATAAGGGCCCATAAGGTTCAGTGCTCTTACATCACAAAGACTGAGAAAGACCAGGGACTATGAACTACGGGATATGTAGTGCCTAGAGCAGTGCATATGACTGCAAATAATGAGCATTGCTCATTCCAAACGAAAGTGAGGGGGAAAAGGAGAGGCTCACAGAGAACATAAAGAAACAGTTGCATGAAAAATAGAGTACGGGGTCAATAAATAGTGGATGCATAGAGATGATTTTTAGAGAATAAAGATATTTTTTATTATTATTATTATACAGGATTTATACAGCCCCAACAGTTTGCGCAGCGCTTTACAAAATGAATGTAGACATTACCGTTACAATACAATTTGGTACAAGAGGAATCAGGGGGCCCTGATCCTTAGAGCTTACAATCTAGGTAATTGTTTAGTGTCACTTTAACATTTTATCTATGTCAAGGACAGGTTCACTTTAAATAGACCCAGTAAACATTTGGTCTTTTCTTCAGGTTTTCGCTCCTCGCTGTTCCCTCGCTGGGCTTTAAATAGGTGAATGTCTATTTTTCTCCGAGGTAACCCAATTATAGAAGATGCGGGGAGAAAAGAGTATTAAAAAAATAACAGGAAGAGTCTTTTCAGCGTCTGCTTGCCAATACGTGAAAGACAGTCAGCTCCTCAATTATCTGAGAACGGTCCTCCAATCTGCCTCTCGGTGGGGGGAGCCGCCAACTCCCAGCCTGCCGGGACCTACAAATTAGGCGCATTGGAGAGACGGCACTTAGCGGCCTCTTCAGCCCCGGCCTCTCGGAGGAGAAGAGATCAGCGATGAGTTTTCCAATCAGCGAGGTGAAGAATTGATTTCATTGTAGGTCTGGTTAGGTGATGGAGGACAAATGACTTCCATCCACATCGGACAACGCAGACAGGCCATTTCCAGCTTTAACATTCAAACTATTCCTTTGTAATTTTTGTATTTTATATGATTAATATTTACATTTTATACTTTTTTTTATCAAGATTAAAGTTTATCTAAAGCCATAGAGTGGTGAGGGGTTGAAGCTGAACTCCATCCTTCCCTTTTCATTCTTGCACAGTTGTACAGACACCGCTCCTGTACTCTGATTGCACTGAACACTGTGAGCTTCCCACAGTGTGCATTAGAAGTTGCAACTAGTCAATTAAAGCCCATCTCATTTCCTGGCTGGAAGAAGTCCAGCATCATCTAACTCTTTCCTCCCCAGCCTGACTGCTCTTGGCCAGCCCCTTCCATTCATTGGATTTCAGTTCTTTCAATCATAGAGGCTTAGAATGACCTAGGGTGGTCTGAATAAAAGTGCAGCCTGCCTAGCAACGCTCACTCCTCCTGACTGACATCCAAGCATCAAGGCAGTTTGATATTTTCCTAACTCCTTCAAGAACCAGCCTCTCAAAGGGCTCTTGAGAGGACTACTGAGGCAAGGTGCTGTGATGTTTTCAGGAAGCTATGTAAACTACCCTGCTGGCCCCTCCCACCAGCTATGATCTGCCTGCATTTCATAGAGAAGCACAGAGACTCAGTGACGACATATCTGGGTTTAAAAAATAGGGCATGTAATAGAAATGGAAAGGTTGTACTTTAAAATGTCATGCGTTGATGAAGGGGTGAAAAGGAGCCAGGGAAGGCAAAATATAAACAGATTAAACTTCAACCGTGAAGCCAGGGGCGGACTGACAACTCATAACGGGGCCCCCGGGCAATAGGGGATCATGGGCCCCTGTGTCCTTGCCCAAACTCAAAAAAGCCTATGAAAAAGGTATCAGGGGCATCTCATGGGGCCCCCTATTGACCCTGGGCCCTCAGGCGGTGCCCGAGTTTCCAAATGGTCAGTCCGCCCCTGCGTGAAGCAAATTTCTATAACCTCAGAGCGACCTGTGCCAGCATTGTGTGAGCGCTGAATTTACCTTTTGTCCTCAGGTAAAGCAGGAAACCAATAATAAGTGAAAGCCACTGGAGGGTGACGGCACCTAGAATAGACGGAGAGAACTTATTTTGTGCCTAAAGATGCAGATCCAACAAGATGAAAAGCTGACACTCGATGTACAACACAATCCACTCAGCTGTGATGTCTCCATTCACTAACCCATCAGCCTCTGGGGTTATTTAAAAATCATTGCAGTTCAAAGTCGATCCATCATGCAATATATTTTCCATGTTTAGTCCATATATGCTGAGTAATGTGTCAGTGTAACTCTAACAGGTTCCCTCTCTCACATAGATTGCAGCACTCCCCCTGACAATGCCATCATCTGCCTTTCTTTACAAAAGGACAGCACCATCTTTGATCAGGCATCATCCAGGGTTACCATTTGCTTCCTGGACTGAGATGCTGGCAATCTTGATGCCTGTGCTGTTCTTAGCTGTGTCTACAAATGTCTTACACAGATCAACCCCTGCTGCAACCTCTCACCTTGTGACTTGATACAACATTACAATGTTGCAGCCTGATCACTGGGTTGGGGGAGACTGAGGAAATGCTTCCACCTGTCTGCAGCAGACTGATGACATTAACTAGGCAGAGTCAGTGGACTGATGATAAAGTACAGGTTTTTAATGATAAATGATTGAGCTTTCTGAAAAATGGAAACAGCTGATCACATGATGAGGTAAACGTCCAATCACAGCGGCCTATTACCACGTGATCAGCTGTGTCCAATGACACAGCAGATCACAAAGTAAATACAGTTGCCGGTTATCAGCAGCACTTTCCTCATGCTGTCACAGCGTGAGGAAAGTACTGCCAATAACCAGCAAATGTTACAGAACAGATCTGCACTGATTATCAGGGCACTGTTTTTTAGTGCTCTGATCATCAGTACCAGCAGTGCCCTCCATCAGTACCCATCAGTGTCACCCATCAGTACCCAGCAGTGCTACCCATCAGTACCCATCAGTGCCCATCAGTGCCACTCATCAGTACCCAGCAGTGCCACCCATCAGTGCTGCCCAGCAGTGCCACCCAGCAGTTGTGCCTATCAGTGTCCATCAGTGCCGCCTATCAGTGCCCACCACTGCTGCATATCAGTGCAGCAGCATCAGTGCTTCCTCATCAATGCCCATCAGTGCTGCCTACCCGTGCCACCTCATCAGTGCCCATCAATGCTGCCTATCAGTGCCCATCAGTGCTGCCTATCAGTGCAGCCTCATTAACGCACATCAGTGAAGGAGAAAAATTACCTATTTGCAAAATTTTTACAATAGAAACAAACAAAAACTTTTTTTTCAAAATGCTTGCTCTTTTTTGTTTATAGTGCAAAAAATAAAAACCCCAGTGACAATTAAATACCAACAAAAACAAATTCTATTTTTGTGAAAAAAAATAAAAATTTAACGTGGGTACAATGTTGCATGGCCACGCAATTGTCATTCAAAGTGCAACAGCACTGAAAATTGGCCTGGGTAGGAAGGGGGTAAAAGTGTCCAGTAGGCAAGTGGTTATCTAAAAAAAAAAAAAATTTCTACTGTCCTCCGGGCCATCTTTAAATGAGGTCTTTAAAGTGATACTGCAGATATTTTTTTCTAGTTTTGGATGGAGTGAGTAAAGGGGTAGAACCTCTGTTGGGTTTTATTGCAGCTTCATATCCTATCACTTTCTCATGGTATACAAACTAAACAAGAAAAAAGTTCTAGCAGGAGTTTAAAGTGTATGTAAACTCTAAGGCTCCTGGCACACTGTACTGATGTGTGAACATCAAATGTTCCTGGCAGAAAAAAACGCGAGGACGGGGCTGAATATCACTGGCAAGTATTTGTGTCTGTTTGCAAGTGTTTGTGAGTATTTGTGTATAAATGCAAAAATACTGACCTGCAACTCAGATTTCTATTTTTTTTTTTTTTTTACTGATCAATACGCAGCACTTGTTTACTTGCCTGTGTGTACAGACACATTGAGAACAATGGGCTGCATTTAGATCAGTACAAAAACAGTGATGTGCAAGAGGCCTAATTGCTCCCTTTTCATCTATTAATTATACCACTGCAACCATTTGTTCTAATCATTCTTTTAGCACAAAAAAACCTGTTTAATTGGGGCAGAACATCAGAGCTATTCTGTGTCCTGTTATGCAGGCCATAGACGGGTCGTTTATTGGCCGAATTTTCGTCCACACGAAAAATCGGCTGATAATCACGCCGTTAGTGGGGCCAGCCCATCGGCTGTTTTTCTTGGATCTCCTCATTTATTTTTATTGGTCATGCTGGAAAATCCACGAAAAACGGGGCCGACTGATTTTTTGTTTAGCGGCCAAAAATTCGGCCGATAAACTGCTCATCTATGGCCTGCCTTACCACAAGGAGGTTTTCTAGTTCTTATCTTGGAACTACAGAATAATTAGACCCTATCTGGAAAGATCTGACAGTGGGTGTGGTTGAGTAGTTTAGCAAAAGACAATGGGCAGGGTTGACACCTCTCAGTCCACAAAAATGCTGTGTGCTGTCAGCCCACAACAGAACTTTTTCATTTCTGCCAGATCAACAGTTGTTTTTATTTACTTGCAAGGTCTTTAAAAGGACAAAACATGGGGAAAAGTGCATGTATTGCAGAGATGTACTGCATATTTTTTTGTCATGACATACACTTTAAATATAAAGTGACACCAAATGATATCCTTATTCAAAAAATAATCCATATACATTCACTGCTACATGGACATGTAATCTGTTTATCACAAAATAGTATTTTACTGTGTTTTTCTGCCTTCTTGTAATGTCTACAAGCTCCTGAACCTTTCCTACTCCCCTCACTTCCTGTTGTTTGGAGCAAGCAGTGCACATTAGTTGCTGTTATGTGCAGGGGTGGACTGACCATTTGGAAACTCGGCACGGCCCGAGGGCCTGGGGTCAGTAGGGGGCCCATGAGATGCCCCTGGTACCTTTTTCATAGGCTTTTTTGAGTTTGGGCAAGGACACAGGGGCCCCATGATCCCTATTGCCCAGGGGCCCCATGA